GTTCAAGGCAGGCACTCTATCACTTGAGCCACAGCGCCACTTCTGGCTTTTTTTCTTTTTTGCTTATGTGGTGCTGAGGAATCGAACCCAGGGCCTCGAGCATGCAAGGCAAGCACACTACCACTGAGCCACCTTCCCAGCCCCGAAATAACAACATTTTCATACACGCATTCAATATACAATATACTGAGCTCCCCCCAAAAAACAAAACAACCTCCCACGATTTCACTGTTCTATTTTTATATGAAAACAAAATATCCCCAAGTATTTTATGAAGTGGGAAAGTGGACATATTTTCTGCCAAAACTCTGCTTTCAGATAAAGATCACATCTACTTTGAAATCTTACACGCAAACGATCCAAACGACACAAAACTTCAGTAACTACATCTATTCATCTTCAAATATCTCGATTTATCCCCATGTGCGCTAAGCAACTTTGGAGTCGATCGGGTAGCAATATATCCAAGAAAATAAACGCAAGTGTGAAGAAGAAAAAAAGCAGTCCCCGGCGGCCAGGGCCGTAACTCTCTCAGCGCGTTTTCTCCCGGGTTTTGGCGCAAGTGTCTCCAGTCACTAGAGCCGTGCGGGGAGGAAATACGGGAAGTCTGACAGAGCGCGGCGGAACGGCTACAAATCTTCTCAGCAAGGCGACGCACTTACCTGTCAGCACTGCCGGGCGACAGCGGACGCCGCGGGCTTGAAGGCGTCTCCAGGACCTTGTCGCCTTTCCAGAAGCAGGCCGGGAGGGTTCCAAACAGATTTACTCTTCCTGACAGCGAAGAACGCCAGCGGGCACCGCAGAAAATCCCCACTGAGGCAAGGCCCGCCAGTCGCACGGAGATCCAGTCAAGAGATCCTCTCTCCACAGAGTGCTTCCGACCGACTTAGATTTGGCCGCGCGCGCGCGAGCGTGCGCATGCGCGCGAAGGACACAGGATGGGGAGCGAGGAGGCGGGTGTTGCGCCTGCGCACCCAGCCCCTTCCGTCTTCGCCCCGCCCACTCAGGGGCAGACGTCACGGGGGGGAGGGGGAAGCCGCCACTTCCGCGTGCGCCGTGGCCGGTCGGGCGCGTGCGCCGTAGTGGGTCGGGCGCGTGCGCAGCGCCGGATCCTCCGTCGCACGGGCTTGGGCTGCTCTCGCTCCTCCTCCGGTTCCCCTTCTGCCCGCCGCGGCCCGGTACCAACCGGTGGGTCCTCCAACAGGGCTGTCCATGCCCCACGCTCCCCGGGCGGGCGGAGTGTGTACTCGAAGCACGTGCTTTAGCCATGGCGACGGATCAAGTGAATGCGCTGTGCGAGGAGCTGGTGAAAGCGGTGACGGTCATGATGGACCCCACCTCCACCCAGCGCTACCGGCTGGAAGCCCTCAAGGTAGCTGGGGTCCCCGCGCCCCGGGCCCGCTCCGGGACCCTTCACCCCGTCCTGCCCCCCGGCGCTGCCCCCACTCCGGCCGGCTGCGGCCCGCGCGGCCCTGGATCGTCCTGCGGACCCCGGCCGGCGGGCGGCTTTTCCTCGCGGCCCTCCGCGCCTTTTCCCACTCCTAGGGCTTTGCTCGCGCTCCGGCTCTTCGCACGGTCCCTGCGCTCGCCGGCTGCTTCCCATCCTCGCCGCCACCGCTTCCCACCATCTTTGCTCTTCCTTTCCCACTTGTTTTGCACTCTCGCCGGCGCCACGATGCGCTCCATCCCGATGTGCACGAGTTCTCAGGCCCCCCGCTCCCCAGCCCCGCACCCCCCGGCCTGCCCTGGTGCACGTGCGGCTCCTACCCCATCGCCAGCCTCATTCTTCACGGTCTTCTCCGCCGACCCAGACTGCACACGTCCTAACCGACCGCCCAAGTCCCAGAGCGACCCTGGCCGCTCGCTCGTGGGCGTCTGGGGGGCCTTTCGGGGGTGGGGGTGCGGGTGGTGGTCATTCTCTGCCTCTTCCTTGCCTTTGGCCGCTGTTCAGTGTATGATATTCTTCGACTGCTTCGCGCGAATGTGAACTTCTAACGCTTGCTTTGCATTTTTTTTTTTTAAAGCAAGGGCACTTTGGTTTCCTGAAAGTAGTTTTCTTGAATTCCGGATGCCTTGCTCTGGGCTTCGAAAGTTGCAGTTTAGGAAAGCTAAAACTGATGGGGATACTGATAGCAATACAGTTTATTATTTTAATAAACAATGTATATATAGGCTGTGAGAAATATCTCTAGGAGAAAACACTCCCGACCATACATATTTTAAGTTGTATAACTTCATAAAGTATACCGCATGAGTGCCACTTGGTGGAAACTTTATAATGTAAGGATGTATATGTCACAGGGTTTGGAATATGCACAGTTGGGCTCTTTTTTTTAAGTGAAATACTTAAAAGACACAAAAGTGAAAAATGCTACAATGATCCTTTATATGTTTGTCACCTAAAATCAACTAGTGAGCAGATTTTCCTACAGTTTCTTCAGCCTTACTCCTGCTCATAAGTTTTTAAAGACAATCTAAGGACTTGACCATCCTTCCATAGGGGTTTATGTAACAAATAATTTGCTCCTTCAGATTCCCCCCCTTTCTTTTTTTTGTTAGGGTATTGCCTACAGCATAGTGAAATCTGGAACTATCTTAGTGGAAAGGTTATTACTTCATATTCACATAGTATTGGTCTATTTGCAACTTAAAAATGTAGCTAAGGTTGGGGTTTCTTTGAGTGTTTTGGGGCACCACCATCTCTTGGCTCTGTAAGGAATACTAATGTCTTCTTTTTAGTTTTGTGAAGAATTTAAAGAAAAGTGTCCTATCTGTGTTCCCTGTGGCTTGAAGCTGGCTGAGAAAACTCAGATTGCCATTGTCAGACATTTTGGTCTTCAGATCCTGGAACATGTTGTCAAGTAAGGATCTTTTGTGCATTACTACTGAAGTCTAAGAAAGTAAATCTTTCCATGTGGGTTTTTGTTTGTTTGTTTTTCTTTGTGTAGGTGTGGAGCTTGAACTCAGAGCCTAGGCATTGCCCCTTAGTTTTTTCACTTAGTACTATCACTTGAGCCACTTCCACTTCTGGCTTTTTGGTGGTTAACTGGAAGTTAAAGTCTCATGGGTATTCCTGCTCCACTTGATTTTGAACCATGATCCTCAGATCTCAGCCTCCCAGTCGATAGTATTACAGTTGTAAGTCAGTGGCCCATCTGAATCTTCAATTCTGTGTAATTGATAGAGGTGCACCAAGAAGAAAGAAATGATCCCCAAGATGTTAGCTGAACCTCACAAGAGTGCTCATATGGGACCTTAAATCTTATTCTTGTTCATGTAGTACACGATGGGTTGTATATACATACAAGTATATATATGCATATACATATAGATGTACACAAAAATACTTGTGTATACATACCAAGTATTTACCAAATATATTAACTCATAGCTGCTAGTCAGCTTACCCAGCATTAATGGACTCCTAGTAGATGTTAGCAGACCTCAATGCCTTTGAAGCATAATGCAGTATAGAAATAGATGAACTTAAAAAAAAGAAAAGAAATAGATGAACTTCTGCCTGAGGCACTGTGCCTTTCTTTTTTTCTTTTTTTTGGGGGGGGGGGTTGTGGGGCTTGAACTTTGGGTTTGGGCGCTATTCCTCAGTTCTTCAGCTCAAGGCTAGCGCTCTACTGCTTGAGCCACAGCACCACTTCCAGTTTTCTAGTGGTTTACTAGAGGTGAGTCTCACGGACTTTCCTGCCTGGGCTAGCTTTGAACTGTGATACTGAAATCTCAGCCTCCTGAGTAGCTAGGATTACAGGCGTGAGCCACCAGTGCCCAGCTATATGTGTATTTTCGAATGGTTCATCCAAAGAAGGATTCCATGAGAATAAGTGAGAACCTCTCCTAACTCAAGTCTTACATACTCACTGTTAGAAGATCGGCCTTTAAAACTTAGCCACAATTTTTCTGGAATTGTTCTGTAATTTTGTAAGCCAGCACAGAAAAAGAGTTGGTAGTATCAAGATGCTTTCTGAGAAGGCACTACATTGTTGGAATTGTACTAGGTGGACATTTGTTACTAGTCTTATGATCATGAGAAGAAGCTGGTATTTGACACAAATCCTCTGTAAATTCCAATTAATAGACCCTAGTATGTATGTTCTCTTGCTCTAAGAATTGTGGTGGTGTTTTTTTGTTCTAGTACTGGAACATGAACTGAGGACTTCATGCTCTAAGATTTTCCACTCATGGCTGGCACTGTCCCACTTGTACCATGCCCAATCTATCTAATCTCCCCTTCTCTTTTCCTTCCCCCCCTCACTTCCTCCCTCCCAGTTTCTCTCCCCTCCCTCCCTTCCTCCCTCCCTCCCTTCCTCCCTCCTTTCCTTCCTGTCTGTCTTTGTTTCTTCCTTTCTTTCTCTGGTCCTAGGACTTGAACTCAAAGCCTGGGCACTGACCCTGAGTGCTTTTGTTTTTTGCTCAGTGTTAGCCACAGCTCAACTTTAATCTTTTTGGCAATTAATTGGAAATAAGTCTCATGGGCTTTTCCTGCCCAGGATGGCTTCAAACTGTGATCCTCAGTAGTCTCATGAGTAGCTAGGATTGCAGGCGTGAGCCACTGGTGCTCAGAAGTCCTGAATTTTTCTATTGTTAGTAATTTGGTTGAACAAGGACCAATTTGTACATATATATATATATATATATATTTTTTTTTTGCCAGTCCTGGGACTTGAACTCAGAGCCTGGGCACTGTCCCTGAGTTTCTTTTGTTCAAGGCAGGCACTCTATCACTTGAGCCACAGCACCACTTCTGGCTTTTTACGTTTATGTGGTACTGAGGATTGAACCCAGGGCTTCATGCATGCTAGGCAAGCACTCTACCACTAAGCCACATTCCTAGCCCACAAATTCTTAATAAGGTAGATCAGGAATCAAAGCAATTCTCTTGTGGAGAGAGACTTAGAAGATGGTTCTGATGATTTTCTGTGTGTTGATTGCCAGGTTTCGGTGGAATACCATGTCTCGATTGGAGAAGGTCTACCTGAAGAACAGTGTCATGGAGCTGATTACAAATGTAAGAAAGGGGTGGTTAGAAGATGAGTGTTTTCAAGATAAAATCTGGTTTCTTCTGTATGGAACATTTGTGTAAAAAACAGATTCTGTGTAGGCCAATGTATAATGTATAGGCCAAAGTATAATGTTAATGATCTAAAAAGACCCACTGATTCATCACATCTCTTACTAGTGCTTTTTTTTGTTTGTTTTGTCTTGCTCAGTCATGGCACTTGAACTTAGATCCTGGGCACTGTCCCTGAGCTCTTTTTGCTCAAGGCTAGCTAGTGCTCTATCATTTTGAGCCACAGCACATTTCCAGTCTTCTGATGGTTAATTGGAGATAAGAATCACCTGGGCTGACTTTGGCCCTCGATCCTCAGATCTCAGCCTCCTGAGTAGCTAGCATCACAGACATGAGCCACCAATTCCCAGCAGTTTTTCTGTATTTTTTAATACTGGCATCATTAGTAAAATAGTTCACTGTGCTCCAGCCCATTCTAATTTGCCAGCCTTTTACTGTACCTTCTTTCTGGTTTTTTGTTTTGTTTTGTTTTGTTTTATTTTGTTTGGGTCCAGTCGTGGGGCCTGAACTCTGGGCCTGGGCGCTGTCCCTCAGCTCTTCAGCTCAAGGCTAGCGCTCTACCACTTGAGCCACAGCACCACTTCGGGCTTTTTTCTTTTTGCTTATGTGGTGCTGAGGAATCGAATCCAGGGCCTCAGGCATGCAAGGCAAGGGCTCTACCACTGAGCTACCTTCCCAACTCTGTCTACTTTCTTTCTATATTCTCTTTCTGGCACTCTAAAAATGAAGTAATACATAAATCTCTTCAATATAAACAACAGTTATGCTTTCCTGGCTCTGTGACGGCCAGTTTAGTAGTTGGTTTGAAGTGGGAAGCAATTAAGAGAGGGCAGGATGAGCCTTGTGAGTCAGGCCTGGAGAACAGGTTTTTTGGTTCAGTTTAATTTCAGAGCAGACCTGCTGATGAGCATTTTGCACTTGTACAGCTCAGTTTTAATGCCTAAAATTCAGACTTGCAGACCTCTTAATCTCTTGCTCTTTCTTAGGGAACATTGAGCATTTTGGAAGAGGAGAACCACATTAAAGATGTCCTGTCTCGAATTGTGGTAGAGATGATAAAGCGAGAGTGGCCACAGCACTGGCCTGACATGCTTGTGGAGCTGGATACTCTCTCCAGGCAAGGGGTACGTAGTGCAGCTCTGTCAGCTTCTCCATGTGCTTGTTCTTGATGTAGACTTTAGGGTTTGCTTTACAACAGAAAATACCCTTTGTGCACATCTGGAATGAATAAGGTGTTTAGTATAACTAGTCTATTTCTGTTGGCATAGGAAACTCAGACAGAATTAGTGATGTTCATCCTTCTGCGACTGGCAGAGGACGTAGTGACCTTTCAGACACTTCCCCCTCAAAGAAGAAGGGATATTCAGCAAGCATTAACTCAGAACATGGAAAAGATCTTCAGCTTTCTGCTTAACACACTCCAGGAAAATGTCAACAAGTACCAGCAAATGGTAAGGAATTTTCTAATAAGTAATGTTTCTGTTATTGTTGTTTCTCTTCATTAAAATGCTCTTTCTGCCAAGTAGTGTCTATTTCAAAAGGATAGGCTATTTGATCATGAAAAAACTAGTAAATAACAGGAGAAACTAGAATTGGTTTTCTCAGAAATTCACTTCAGTGAGTTGTTTGTTTTTTGTGTTTTTGTGTGTTTTATGTTTTGTTTTGTTTTTTGTCGGTCATGGGGCCTGAAACTCTGGGCCTGGGCGCTGTCCCTCAGCTCTTCAGCCCAAGGCTAGCGCTTTACCACTTGAGCCACAGCACCACTTCTGGCTTTTTCTATTTATGTGTTGCTGAGGAATCGAACCCAAGGCCTCATGCATGCAGGGCAAGCACTCTACTAGACAAGGAGCAGGGGAAGGGCACCCGCCTGGCATGCAAGGCCCTGGGTTCGGTCCTCAGCCCTGGGGGGAAAAAAACCCAACTACAGACAAGGAGCAGGTGCAGGTGGCTCACACCTATAATCTTAGCTACTCAGGAAGCTGAGATATGTGGATCGTGGTTCAAAGCAGCCCAGGCAAGAAAGCATGAGTCTTATCTCCAATAAACCACTAGAAAACCGGAAGTGGCGCTGTGGCTCAAGTGGTAGAGTGCTTGCCTTGAGTTAAAGAGCTCAGGGACAGTGCCAAGGCCCACAACCAACAAGGGGAGGGGGAATTTAAAAAAAAAGAAAATTCCTTTTTTTTTTTTTTTTTGGAGGGTGGGGGCAGGTTCTGGGGCTTGAACTCAGGGCCTGGACACTGTCCCTGAGCTTCTTTTGCTCAAAACAAGCACTCTACTACCACAATACCACTTCCGGGCCTTTTCTGTTTATGTGGTACTGAGGAATAGAACCTAGGACTTGGTGCATTCTAGGCAAGTACTCTACCAGTATGCCACCTTCTCAGCCCCCAAAATTCCTTTAAGTTAAGGAAATTCTTAGAATGGAAGTGGAGATTATTGCTTAATACTTGAAACCTGTTAAATTGTGTTGTTCCGTTTGCTGCTGGCCTCTCTTGCATGCTATGCAGTCTTTTACTGTAACTGACTTACATTTTTCTTTCTAAAATATCAACATTGTAAAACCTCTGATTTAAGCCAAATACCAGTGGTTTACACTTGTAATCCTAGCTACTCAGAAGGCCTAGATTGGCAGTTCAAAGCTATCCAGAAAAGTCCACGAGACTCTCTCCATTAATTAGCTATACTGGAAGTATAGCTCAAGTGGCAAAGCCCCCAGTTAAGTAAACACAAAGCACAAGTCTTGATACTGGAAAAATAAGTACATACATAGCTAATATAAATAAAACTTGATTTAGAATTCTCATGTACCTATTTTATAAAATAGAATTTTTTCCTTTTTTTTTTTTTTCGGTCATGGGGCTTGAACTCCGGGCCTGGGTGCTGTCCCTCAGCCCTTCAGCTCAAGGCAAGTGCTCTACCACTTCAGCCACAGTGCCAATTCTGGTTTTCTAGTAGTTTATTAGAAATGAGTCTCATGGACATTTCTGCTCTGGCTGGCTTTGAACCATGATCCTCAGATCTCAGCCTCCTGAGTAGCTAGTATTATAGGCATGAGCTACCAGTGACCAGCTTAAGAGTCTTTTTTTGGGGGGTGGGGCCTGAACTCTGGGCCTGAGTGCTGTCCCTCAGCTCTTCAGCTCAAGGCTAGCGCTCTACCACTTGAGCCACAGCACCACTTCCGGCTTTTTTTCTTTTTGCTTATGTGGTGCTGGGCAATCAAACCCAGGGCCTCGTTCATGCAAGGCAAGCGCTCTACCACTGAGCCACCTTCCCAGCCCCTGCTTAAGAGTCTTTTTATGCAGTCATGGAGTCTATTTGTAGAGAAGTTCTGCATATAATGAGGGGAAGGTATTAGAAGCTGTTGGGGAAGGAAGAATTCGCAGAGGTTCAAAGAATAACTATGAAAGGTCCTCTAATAAATATAGTGAAATTCATATCCATTTTTTTCACTATAGTGAACTCTCCCTGAAGCACATCCCTGAGATTTCTTCAAAAGAAAACAAGGAGAAAATACTTCAAAAATCTGTGTGCTGGGCATGGTGGCACATGCCTGTAATCTTGGCATTTGGTTTATAGAAGCAGAAAGATCACAAGATTGAGGACAGCTTGAGTTATACAATGAGATCTTGTCTCAGGCACAATCCCTATGTCTATTTTCATTTTCCCTAGGAAACTTAACCCCTACAAGAAAAGAAACAATTATATGGAGATAACCTGCCCATACTTCAATATCATGGGAAAATGGGATGTACCTGTGGTATGTCTTATTCCTAGGTTGAGTTATTAGACTCTAGGATTCAGGACAGATTATCCTGAAACAAATGTTTTAAGGAAAAAAAAAAGTTGTTCCTCCTCCTTCCTTTTAGCTAAGATTTATGTTAGATAACAAGTGTAATGTAGGGAGAAAGGGAGAAGAGAGAAACATTTTCTGTTCTTCCTGAAGGAAATGGGACTTGAGATCCCTGTATCTTTTTCTGGTACTAGGGCTTGAACTCAGGGCTTGGGTACTATCCCTTAGTTTTTTTGCTTAAGGCTGACACTCTGCCACTTGAGACACACCTCTACTTATGGCTTTTTTGGAGATTAATTGGCAATAAGTCTTACTGACTTTCTTGTTTGATCTGGTTTTGAACCAAAATCTACACATCTCAGCCTCCTGAGTGGCTAGGATTACAGACATGGGCTACCAGTCCCTGACTCGCATGGCTTATTTGGGAAAAGTTCTTTTGCTTGGAAAGAATTGCATTCCACAGGAAAAAAAGGTATTTCAACCCTTCAGAATAGCATCTCTGAGTATCACTTATATGAGTCACACAGTTATGCTCTAGTTATGAGCACAGGAAAGGTGGGATCTACACAACTACACCAAGATCACAACCAACCATCTTTCGTACCTTGATCTTCTCATTTTGTTCTTAGTTTCTTGTCTACTTCTATCCCTTCCCAGTTGGGAAGTCATTTGAACATAAGCAACAATGGAATAAATTGATTCCCTCCTCCAGTCCCATTAGCTGCCTCCTGTGCTAGCCTGGGATTGGAGAGCTTGTTGAAGCTTCATGATCCCAGTGCTGGTAGCTTCCAGGTACTTGAGAGGGTGTTCCCACTTAGGTCTCCTGTGATTGCTTGCAGAGGTTATTCTTCATTTTATTTTTATAAGTTCCTTAAAATGTTGATGTGTGTTTACATAAACATAAGTATGTTTGTATAAGTATATTTATTATCTTTAATGTGCTGGTACTGAGGCTTGAACTCTGGGCTTTATACTCTTGGTCAGCTTTTTTGCTCAAGGCTAGTGTCCTACTATTTAAGCGATACCTCCATTTTCAAAAATGTTGGGTTGTTTTTTTTTTAATATGCTTAAGATTCATAACAATTATGTGGTATTTTGTAGACTTTGAAACATAAGGATAAATATCATTTTTATGGAGCTAGAAAAGTGGCTCAGTGGTAGAATGCTTGTCTTGCATGCATGAGGCCCTGGGTTCGATTCCTTAGCACCACATAAACAGAAAAGGCCAGAAGCAGTGCTGTGGCTCAAGTGGTAGAGTGCTAGTCTTGAGCTGAAGAGCTGAGGGACAGTGCCTAGGCCCCATGACTGACAAAAAAATAAAAATAAAATCATTTTTATGTGTCTGTTCTGAGCAGCCATTGTTTTGAGTTTCAGCATCTAATGTTTTGGTATACATGATTCTTCTAGAATATACCTATACATACATGGTGACAAATTGTTTGGACTTAATTTATTGTTTTAACCTGTTGTATTATATACCTGGGTATTATCTTTTTTTTGGGGGGGGGTCCGTTATGGAGCTTGAGCTCTTCCTGGGCACAGTCCCTGAGCTCTTCAGCTCAAGGCAAACACTCTACCACTTGAGCCACAGCACCACTTCAGGTTTTCTGGTGGTTAATTGGAGGTAAGAGTCTCACAGATTTTCCTGCCTGGGTTGGCTTTGAACTGCGATCCTCACATCTCAACCTCCTGAGTAGGATTGCAGGCATGAGCCACCAGTGCCCAGCTGGCATTATTTTTGTATTCTCAGTAAGGTTAAAAGTTGAATTTGTCTGGGCACTGGTGTCTCATGCCAGAATCCTAGCTACTTGTGAGGCTGAGATCTGAAGCCAGCCCAGACAGGAAAGCCCATGAGACTCTTCTCTCCAGTAAACTACTCAGAAAAGATGAAAGTAGTGCTGTGGCTCTAAGTGGTAGAGCACTAGCCTTGCGAAAACGAGCTCAGGGACAGTGCCCGGGTCCTGAGTTAAAGCACTACAACTTAACTCCCCCCCCCCCAAAAAAAAATGTGATATAGCACATAAAAACACTGGATCTTTATACTTTTCTTTCAGAAGACTGATACTTCTGAGGAGTCCAAGGTAAGCACTACAAGCATGCCTCATGAACTGGAAAAAGACTGAGGCTTTTAGGTGCTGGATGCTATACCTACAGCTCAGCCTTGGTAGCAGGATTGTTTTGTTTTTTCTTTTTGGCCACTTAGCTATAGTGAGAGAGGCATAAAATGATAATATCAATATTGATGATTCCTTGAAATAGCTACACACACGTTTGTATTGTTTATGTCCCCCATCTACACCCCACCCACCCCGTTCCCATGCTAGGAATTAAATCCAGGATCTCACACATTCTAAGCAAGAGCTCTACACTTGAGCTGTGCCTTACACATTTTTTAAAATTTTGCTTTGTGACAGAATCTTCCTGCCTTTGCTTAGACTGGCTTTGAACTTAGGATTCTCGTTGAGGGAAGAAAGCTTTCTGAGCAGCTCTAATTATTGGCGTGTACCACCAAGCCCCGACCAGTATAGTCTGAATGATTGGTGCTGAGAATGCCATTTTTTGGGAAATGGTTATGCATTGAAAATCTTTTGAGCCAGGCGCTGGTGGCTCATGCCTGTAATCCTAGCTACTCAGGAAGCTGAGATCTGAGAATCGCGGTTCAAAGCCAGCCCAGGCAGGATAGACCGTGAGACTCCTATCTCTAATAAACCACTAGAAAACCGGAAGTGGCGCTGTAGCTCAAGTGGTAGAGCAAGAAAATCTTTTGAGTTCTCTGTCAGCAGTTAGATGAGGACAGGTTTTTAGAAACCATTTTCTTTTTAGAATTAGAAAATGTAAGTTTGGCTGTAACAACTCCCTTGTCGATTTGTACCTCATGATCAAAAGTGGTTTCATGCAGGCTCAAGCACACTGTCGAGTAGGAACAGCAGCACTGAGTACTCTTGCAGGCTACATTGACTGGGTATCCATGACTCACATTACCACTGAAAACTGTAAGCTCCTAGAGGTACTATGCTTGCTTCTGAGTGAACAGGAACTTCAATTGGGAGCAGCTGAGTGTCTACTCATTGCAGTCAGCAGAAAAGTAAGTTACCCTTCAGACTGTCTTGAGTCTCTGAGCTAGTGTTGTGTGTGGGTTTGCTGGCATGTGGTAGACACTTAAATAAAGTTTGAGGATTTTATTCCTTGAAGCCAATTTACTGCTTCTATGAAATAGCTCCATTGGCAGAATATGTACAAATTTGTCAGTCTGCTTGGTTCTTGAGACAACCATGAGTCTTGATACTTCACACTTAGATAAAAGTAATGTGAAAGGTTAAAGCTCACTCTCTCTACAAAGAATTTTAGATGGTAGCTGCATTAGCTTTGTATTTGGCTTGGCTCACAATAGAACTGTACCTCTCTTCTATCTAGAAATATTATCTCCAGATGTAATTTACTTGGTTGCATTGCATTCTTGTATCAGCCTTCTTGCCTAACATCTTGGTAATAAACAACTTACCCAGATTTGGTTTTAAAGAGCTGGCTTTTTTTTTATAGTGTTCAGTATCCTGGTGTAGTTGAGAAACTAACAAAATACTGTACTTTACTGTATAAATATAGAAGGAAGTCAGTATAGTTATATATATGACTGTTTTTGATACTATACCTTTTAAGTATAGAAGGAAGTCAGTATAGTCATATGACTGTTTTCTCCTAAAATCGGGTCTAGGGCAAATTGGAAGACCGGAAGCCCTTGATGGTCTTATTTGGAGATGTTGCCATGCATTATATTCTCTCTGCTGCACAGTGAGTAGCCTGCCTTTGTGGGTATTTGCAGGGAAGAGGGGTGCTTCCAGTTCTTTGCTTGGTTGCTCTGGTTGGGGTTTTGATGCTAGGGATTTTCTTAAACCCATTGCCTATTGGCATGCTAATAAGCACATCATCTACCACTGGCTGCACTCCTAGTCCTGTAGTGTGTTTCTAGTCTTTGTCTTTTTTTTTTTTTTTTTGGGTCCGGTCATGGGGCC